GCAACAAGAACTCACGGTCAAATTGTGAGGTGCACATGTGCAGTTGAAAAATTGGAAAATTGTGTCGAAGAAAAATTCATTGCGACTACACTTTAAGACATTTGTATGAAGTGTCACACGAGCATTTAACACAACATTTTCAACCCTACAAACTGACAAAAATTATGTCAACATATTTCGAGAAACGCCACAGGCTCTTGTGGTTTCAGAAAGCATAGTCTTATTACCTCCTTAAACTGCATTATTCGAATGTGACCTCGTACATCGGATTACTTTTGCCCACTGTGTTGTTGGTGTCATAGAAAACCAAAAAACAGATGTTTGTCAAGAAACCACTTTTCGCCAGGCTACGTTAAAGTAAACAGACAACAGGATGCGGCAACATCACGAAATGCAAAATGAGATGAAATCGTTACTAGGTCAAGCAAACACCGTTTGGAATCTAGGAGTCAGAAGATGAATTCTGGAGATGCGCTTATGATAGCGCTCATTACGCTGAAAATCCCAAGCGTGAGGGTCTCATTAGGCCGGCGTTGCTAAGTTCATTCAAATTGGCGTGCTTTGAATACTATGCAATTTCCCCGTTCATGATTATTTCCATCAATATTTCATTGATGCAACGTCAATAGTTTCATGTCTAGGCAATGTAATTGTTATTTCATTAATTTGGTATCATTCCAAATCCAGTTTATAATGATATGATAGTGTAGTTCTAACATTAATTATAATTCTAATCCTTCACAAACCATTCCTTTTTCGAGTCAAGAGATATATAAATTTTAAAGTAAAAGTCCAGTAAAACTGTGACGCATTCTTCATGCAATTTAAAACTTTATTCCTCATAAACAACTACAAAAAAGTGTGCAGTTCAACCTTTTCAAAATATTGTCCACATGGCGCAACAAGAACTCACGGTCAAATTGTGAGGTGCGCATGTGCAGTTGAAAAATTGGATCACAGTAAATTATAACCAACTGTGACATCAGTTCCATTTTAAAGAGAGACTCATCTGAAAAAGCAAGCGTCAGTATTTTGTTCACCACCATTAAACCTGCCCCTGTACTCCCGTCGGCTCTTTAACCCCTGCGACCAGTACCCTTGCCGCCGCAACGCATCTCGCACTGGAAATTCAATTGCCATCCTCACCTAATTCCCGCTTTGAGCCATTTCGACTTAAAGCAATTAAGTGCAAAACTAAACTGGTTACCCATATCCAGCTTGAATCCGTGTCAATTATTTCCTTGCGGGCTTTTAGAAATCGAGACTTGTCCACTAAGAAAGAAAACAAGCCAAATATGATAAATTTCACCTACGTTTCTCGGCATCTTGTGATCTCTCGCTTAAACGTTATATGCAGAGCAGTTTGATATTCTTTTGATATTCAATATTCTTTGTAACTTTTTGGAGGATTAAATGGAAGTTCTTCATTTTGTATCTCTCTTATAAACACTACATTAGAAATATGTATTTCCTTTCATACTGCTTCATCACAAAGGAGTCCTTAATGTTCCATTTTTATTACCTTTTTATATGAAAGAAATGCTATTTATTTTGCAGCGAAAACAAGGCAGAAATCATTCAATAAGATCTGTTTTTATTGAGTGATACATTGGTAGTGAGTTGGTTTGGTCTGCCTCCTGCAGATATGATTCCCCGTGGACTTGTGAGCATTGACCTTCTGTCTTAATCTCGAAGTACAAAATAGCAAATTTCTCTTGGATAAATGGACTGCTGAAAGCGAAATCGCTGCTTCTTCCGGCAGCGGAATTAGCCTTTTGGAATGTCCATGGGCACTCCGTTTTGGAAGCTCGATGTGAAATTTCATTTTTCAAAAAAAAAAAGATAATTTCATTGCTTGTTAGAACAATGAAATGCAAACATTCTTAGCCTTTGTGTGTCCATCATGCAAATAAGCTACGTTGGCTTCCTTTTAAAATCAGATGTTGGCTTGCTGGTGCTTGGTGCTCAAGAAGTGCAGAAAAACAGAACCGTGTCCATTTTTTTCTGAAAGGAGTGACTTTTTTTCTAAGGCACCACGTCAACAAAATCGGCTTAAACCGATGCATGACATGTACCACACTGGCGGCGTGCGCAAGAGCCACGTTTAAGGCCCGCGGCGTAGCCCCCGCGATCACGGTAATCAAGCTCGGCTTTATTGATGGCGGTCATCATTTAGCCACCAGACGAAAGTAAAGGAAAACAACAAACACCTGCAAAGGTGGTCCGAAGGGGGGCTAAGGAGCCCCGTGCAACATGCCCCTGTCTCACAGTACTGCACTGGTCTCATTTATTGACACTGTGTTGGCTCATTGCTGCGGGTAGCTCTACCCCTTCTGCCGTGTCTCCATATAGTTGGTTTAGCTTGAAATGTGTTCCACGTCATTTTTTTAGTTTCTTGCAGAGTTTATTTTATCGTAGTTTTTTAAGGTCTGAAAAAGCTACGTCCCAAAATTCCCTCAGCACGACGAGAGTAGTTTTGTAAATTATTAAATTCGAAAGCTGAGTTTTTGAAGTTGAGCTTAAGATATCATATCTTAACCATGACAAAGAGACAAGTTTATGCCGACTTCGCCGTCTTTTTTTGAAAAGGATAAGCTTTTTTCGGTCATGACAAAACTGTAAAACATTCAATCGAGTCAGTTGAAGTAATGTGGAATACCTGTATACGATGTGTTTATTTCTGATGAGAAGAAACGTCATTTCTGCTGTTGCATCGCTTGAGTTCTCAACTTGGGGCGAGCGTGCATGTCATCCAACCTGTCGGGATAGTCATAACCAAGAACTGGTTATGACTAACCTGTGTATATTGCTTTAGCAACTTTTAGTGGACAGGAACATCCCGTCCTACTGCCCATTACCAAGCGAGTTTTTTTTTTTATGAAATGCCACGACGAAGATGCTCATAACATATTATCGTGTTGCATAATACTTGCGACCTTGCGCCAACTTTATTAGGAAGGCTCAGTAACTGCAGTTAGCATAGCTTTCTTCAAATAAAGTTAACGTTCTTTAGAGCCACATAATGAGCAGTGAGTCTTTTTTTCCAGAGCCAGTCTTTCCGAAAAGATTAATCGAAAAAGCATGAAAAGTGCACCATTATCCAGAAATCGAACAATAACCCTTCTTGATACAAATCCTTTCCTGTCACCAATATTCCTCGCTTGCCAGCTCGATCAACCTTTTTTCCTTTATATCTGCTCATGGCACAACATAATGCACCTAAAGTAGTGACGAAGTGGTGACGTAACTACGTATACCCATCACACATGTAATGTATTAACGGGCAACCTTAAAAGCTAATATTTTATTGTAAAGATCTCGATCGCTCGATACAAACGGCCGGGAGAGAATGGTACATGACGATGTAGTACTTAAATCGCCAAAACAATTAAGCAAGCAGCTATAGATAAAAACGAAGCGATTCTTTGTTACGACAGCTGCAATGCTCTCTTCTCAAGTTGAGGAGTTTAACGTGGGGCACCACTATCTATAATAATGGCTACTTATTCTGATCATCGAACCAATCTGTTAATCGATTACAAAGAAAGCGAACTGATATCAAAACAAACTATACATGTAATTATTGTCACGCTTCACATAAACAATCATTTCCAAAGCACTACATGACATTTTGTTAATCTAGATGGTAAAGGATGTCACAACGATTTCTGTTCAGTCTGAAATTAGACCGTAGAAGGTCAAGATGAAGGCAATTACCGTCTTTGTGGTTCCCTGTGGAGAATACACTGTTTGGTAGTCGGCAACGGTAAAGAGGTAATGTAAATAGAAGTGCATCGTACATTGGATCGGTTATCTCACATCGAGTTTTATAGATCTGAGCTTTGATTAATACAAGGAGAAGTGCGTGGCTTCGCGCCAGCCAGACCAGGCGATTACAGATGATCCATTCAAACAGGTCAACATGTCTGCTCACAGACATTATGACTAATTTACCGATTGGGGAGAGACTGACCCGGAAAGTTTCCATGGGAAATTACAATCTTGTTGGGGATGAAGAGTAAGTACAAATTTCAAAATGGTGGCGCTTCCGAGAAGAACAAATGCTCGATTGGATCTATGGGTAAATTTGGGGCAAACTGTGGGTCAAATTGATGCTAGAAAACTGTGGGGGGATGAGGGCTGGGGGGTGGCGGATGGCGAATTCTGGAGGGGGATGATCTTCCCGGCCGTGGAAATTAGAAAAGCGAGGGGGGGGATGCTGACACCAACTGACACTAAGGGACGATGTTCATGATATAGATGTACATCTGTAACATGTATTACATTCCTACAGAATCTCATATCAGAACAGCATATTTATGGCTTTTATTATTGTTCTCTCTTTTTGAATGCTATTGAATACACTTTGGTCGTTGGGAAGTGCGAGAAATTCTTCACAATCCGCCGTTTTTTCTCATTACGAACAAGTGGGGGGATGACTCAGTAACCCACCTCCCAGGCCAAAAGTGGGAGATATATGCCCACCTCACTCCCACTCCCGACTTACGCCCATGGTATGCAGAAATGCACATGATGAGTCGTAGCCAACGTTCTTATCCCTTAACAACTACATGCTGGATTTTTGGTGTTTTGCTCGGACAAATCTGCTTGTCCCCCTATTTGCCAACGGTAAGACAAATGACTCATGATTGACTGATTCATCTAGTTCATTCTGTTCGCTGTGAATTTATCGAACAAGACTAATAGCTTGATGCAGAGCATTGACCAAAACTGACAAAGCAAAAAAAAAATAAAAAAAATAAAGGAAATGCCAAACGGCAGATGTTTTTCGTTTCCTTGGAAAAAATAATAGTCGCAAGAATTACTCGTCACCTTGTAAGTTGCAATAAAAATGTCAAGAAAACTCAGCAGATGGAGAACAATTCGACCAATTAGATTGGAGGATTTGGGACCCGGCGTCGCGCAATTTGCATCCGACTGGGCGAGCTTCTCTAGACCTGCGGTCGAAATCGTGGAAATTAAGTCTTGCGCTGGAAAAGCGTATATAGAGCGCAGCCAATCCACGTTTGTGTCATAAGGACGTGCCATTCCGAAGAGGACGCCTAAGTGATCAGGGACAACTACTTTCCTGAAAAGTGGGTTCTTATTTGGTTGGTTCTCCCGTGAGTTTCAGCCCGGCGGAGTCAGGATGGAGCGGACAGGTAATGTGGAACCGGTACTTGAGTAAGAGAGAAAAAATAACATCCTACATAGCCGGCGAACTTAACACACTTAGGGTTTTTTGAATGGACCGTGTACAGTGGCGAATTACGGGACTTCGGTTGAAGTATGCTCTATCAATGCACGGACAGTGTTACAACATTTGCATTCCGTGGTGCGAATGTCAAAAAGTACAAACTGTGCTTGGTGCAGGTGTTAAGGCTGTGATATTTGTACATCTGCTCAAGTGACTGTTAATTGCTTGTTTCCTTCAAGTAATGTGTTGCATATTCGACAATGATTAGATTACTCTTTTCGAAAATGCATTTTGGGGCTGTTTTAGGCGTATGTGGATTATTTTTGTTCACATAGTCCGTCTGTCTTTGTCGTGATTTAAATCCTTCCAATTTCATAATTTCTTCTGTGTAGAATTGTTCATACACCCGTGTAAACCAGTTATTGTGAACGGACTACATATCATTGTGAGTGTTATTGTACATCAACATTACTTGACAACCAACAAATCAGTCGATGAATCGAACGACTACTCGCTTTATATACTACTGCGCAAGGCGTTTAATTTGACTAAGGCCATGTAATATTCGTGTATCTAGCTATATATACGGGCATTGTGTGTTTCTAACCGGAGATTTCATCCGTACTTTTTAATATTTAATCCTTATACAGTGGGCCTTCAGTATTTTCGTAATTCATACTAGGTATGTTAAAGAATAATTTAGGCTTCATACATGACAGGGTGTGGAGGCAAAGATGTATGGAATTTTTTCCGTCCTTTTTAAATGATTATTCCATGCCTTTTTTTCCGCACAGCTCCGTTTGGAATTTACTTTTGAAATGCGTGCACGCAACGTGGAGTAGGCCAACTGCACATCCTTTCAGAGAAGGAATCATAGATTAGTATGTATCTCGCCACTCTTATGTGGCAGCCAAACAAATATATACTCATATCTTTTAATTTTACCAACACAGGAATTTATTGCCTGCTTCTAACACTACTGGTCCTACTGGCAGTTCACACGTGTTACGGACAGAGGGCAGACCAGCTCATACGCTACGGCAAATCCTACCCAGTCCGACCGCGCGCCTTGCCCAAGTCTCCTTTCTACGCTAAAAGGAACGAAGTACTCTTTCAGGACACTAATGGCATCTTACCAGAGTACCCTGGGGAAAGTCAGATGGGTGCCTCCAAGCCTGTTACTGACGGTGAGCATTTCCCCCTTTCTTTTGTAAATGTGGGTAGACCTGAAAATTTTTTCGGAGAATTCTTGTCATTGGTTTGGTGATGATTGAAGCCAATGGACATAATGCAGCCTCCGGAGTTACCATGAAGGTGTTTTTACAAAGCAAGTTGTTAGCAGTATCTTTACTTAGAATTAATTCAGGTCGCTTTATTGTTATGACTGGAAAATTTTATTAAATAAAGGCAGGCCTTTATGACAGTAAACATGTCCTCATTCATGTTTGCTATATTACCGGTTCAACAATGAACATACGCAATGAGTGTTAAAGGGGCTTTTTAATGTCCAGGACCGGATCTTCCTTTGATTGTGGCTTCGTCTCAAGTATCCAGTATTGTTGTCCGGACAGGCTGAAATTCGTGACTAATTTTATAAAGCAGGACTTTCACAAATCGCGTTTCTCTGCCCGTTGTCCTCGCGCCCTTCAGTTTTATACTCAAATCCAAAACGTGACCAGAAATCTCATAATTCGGTGTTTCTTTCATGCACCCCTCATCTCATACAGAAAATACTTGTTTCATCCCGGCGGTCTTAAATTCACAGAGAAACATCTGAAGAATTTTGGCCACCAACCCCATCTCCTTGCTCCTGTTCCAAAAGCAACTCCATGTCTTTTGTCTCGTTTGTGTTTGCTTATTTGCTTTTTTTATCGGTTAACTTAGCGTCGAGCCTATCTCGTTGGCGTACCTGGTGGTTGAGAGACGTTTCAAAATATTTGATCGTTTATCATCTCTTGTACGACCTTACACCCTTCTCTTAACTTTTTTGTTCCCCTCTATTCCTTCAGTATTTTTGCAGGATTGAAGGTCTCTAGCGCAAATTTCAAGTATGCCTAAGCATCGTGCTATTTCGATGTACAAATGAACAGCTGATTTCTAATTTAACAGGCTTATTCTATTATCGCTTCTGATGTGAAAAGTAATATTGACTCAGTTTATAAAATTTTAGACGAAAAATCTCAATTTTATTTGAAATGCATACTTACATCTGCAAAACCACACGTACATAAGAACACGCGATAATTAAAATATAATTCTGTCATTGTCAGGTAGTCAATTCCATAGTTTAAATCATTTTTTAAAATCATTTTTGTCAGAATCCTCCTTGCCAACGCTCGATATGAAGCCCTAGTTTTCTGATGACAGTCGCACGCATACACGCACCCGTAACGACACAAGTTTTCAAATAAATTAAAACCACTTGGAGGTCATGAAGCTGAAGCCACGTGATACTGAAATCAAAGACAGATAACAAGAGTAATGGACGAAGAAAAAACATCCTAATTCTATTCTCTTTGTCAGTTCAACCCCTCCCCTCCCCCAAAAACAAAATTTGGGATCTATGTCATTGGCTTCCATAGAGATCATAACGAAAGTCACTTGTGACTAAATAGTCCACTTTTTTTTTAAATTTGTTTCAAATGGTATCACAGTTTTCGATGTAAGAAAAGGTTCATTTTAACTTCATTTTAAAGGGCATACATTACAAGATTATGGGCTAATGGAAATGCATTTACAGTCTGACATGAAGTAATCTTCATGCCATCGTGTTTCAAGATCATAATTCTTAGACACGAAAACAGCTTCAAAAGACCACAAGTGTTTGGGCAAACCTCCGCTTCCTAAAACAAATTTGGTTTGATAAAGTACCCCTCCAGGTATCATCAAAAAACGTCCAAAAGCTCGTTGGAATAACCGACAGAGAAAAGGAACATGGCTCTTTCACTTCCTTCGCCAATTTGCCATTCTCTCGCCCATGCAACAGCAATTGATTTGTTATTCCAACACTCGCATGTGGACAACATCACCCGCCGTTGAATTTACCCGTTACAGAAACGTCATTATACAAATGGCCAATTCTCGTCACTTCTCCCCCCGCAGACATTTCTCATGAGGAGTCGTGTTTCATTTTGTCCAACCACTTCAGTAAACCGGACTGAAATGCCCGCAGCTGTAATCACAATACAAGTGTAGATGCGACACCCCCCTCCCCATTTTCTGCTCAGCTACTCAAGCGAACAATCATGTTAGCTAAAAATAACAGACAAAGTATCGATAATTCATCTGGGTCCTTAAAATTAAATTCCAACTCAGTTAGAATGATGAGATACCACTGAGTGAATCCGCGCGGTTGAAGTCAAGTCCTGCCTGCCATAGAACCTGTGAACAACTGAAGGTTATGCAAAGTTCTGTACTCGCCAATTATTTTTGAGAAAGGTCTCGAGGTATTCGACAAGAATGTTAAGGCAAGTTTTCACATGCAGTGACAGACCCCATTGGAACAAGTATGTAAACATACCACAGGTTTACTTCTAACAAACCAAAAACTCCATACAGTGGAACATAACGCACACCGTTAAGCCCATTGTAATTATGTAATGCATCAAGTCATGTTTTTTATTGTTTTTTTAACGGACATTTAGAGTTAACGCGTTTGGTAGTACCCATAGACCTGATAATAATAATGAATTATTAATAAAAGAAAACTCAATAATTATCCCGTTAATAATCGATACCTGCTAAAAGATAAATTTGTTCATATAAATTCCCGAAGCTAAAAACTTCTTTTAAATGTTTTAACTACTCTTAATTTTGGAGATTTCCTTCTGAAATCCAACCAGCGAAAATTGTGTGGCTAAGTTGAATTAAAACAAAATAAAGAAATAAGAAAGAAAGCGGTGGAGCAAACCTTCATCAATCTGACATTTCACAAGCATGCAGCTGCTTGTTCGAGGCTGAAAAATTATCGATTGCTACTCGCAAGAAGTAACTTACCATAAAATTCTACTACATTTAATGTTGGCTGTAATTCCTACATTGTATCCTGGAGGGACAAAAAAGACATCCCCCAAACACGCAGTCCTCTTGTAAATGCCTGCATGTATTCTTGTGATGATTCTTGTACTATCTTCAAGTTAGGTTGCCTGAATCAAGTTGATATCAAATTGATATTGCGCACAGGAATTAATCAGAAAAATGTTTTGTGGTGTCTATGATATTTGGCTCTTCGAGATCTTTTGGCTTTATAAACTACCGCCAAGTGGAACAACTACAGGCCTACTGGTTTCCTATAAAATGCACGAGCAAAAGCAGGAACAAAACAAAAATCAAAACAATTATAAAATATTTGAAACGCATAATGTTTGACTATTTTTATTGTTTTTTATTTGCAAATAAATATATAATAAAAACGTAATGGTATAACACGTGAGTTTGTCTTTTCAAGTGAGCTTTTCATAGCACAATCTCTTTCAATTGTGTAGCTCCTAACCTGAAATCATTCTAACTTGAAGCGGTGTCTCTTAGTGAAGACTTGCCTTGCGCCTCACCCACTAGTCCCCTCGTTCATCACGGTGGGTCATCATCGGAGGCCAGCACTGTTGGCGCCGAAAATGCAAACCGACTCCCTCCATTTGGTCGACTGAAGACAGATCTGGCTTCAAGCTTTTCCCGTTTACGCGAGAAGTCCCCCCTTGTATACACCTTCGTGTGTCAATTATTAAAATCAAGCCCTGAGACCGGGGTTGTGCGGAAGCCGGTAGCGAGCCAAATGTTTGTGCACTTTCGTCTACATCAATTACCGATACCGGGGAACTAAGCTTCAACAGTTCCTCCACAGAAAAAAACGGGTGCTTTTCTCTTTTTATATTTATGATAAGAATTCGGGTTATTAATGTCAATTAAGAATTAGTGAATGGATAAATGGCCTTTTTGCGGCAATACGTAGTAGTAATTTTAAACATACCCAGTAGTAATATAATGGGGAGAAACATTATCTTCCGAATTCTCGTATCACACTGACAAACTATAGGTTAGTGCCAGTGCTACTAACCACGTGCTACTGTAGATCTGAGAAGCACTCTAAATTGCGGGAACGCAAGAAACGTCACAATAGGATAACCTTTTACCCTAATCTTCCATCAGATGGATCTGTTGTCGTTATAGTGAAACCCAAATGGCAAGCGGAATATTGAGGGGGGGTACAACAACGGAATTCCAATTACGTGTGGAATCACTCCCTTAAATCGCCTGAATGCTACAGACAGTGTCTAATTCTTCTTTCTTCTGATTTCGCTCCCAATCTTTCCAAAACATTGATGCTAAACCCTTCAAGGCCCCATCCAGAATCTTTCCCATGGATTCTACTTGGAACGAATGGAACTGGATTGCGTCGTGGCATTGATGAAAGAATTGCCAGCGACTCGCTCTGCAAACACACAAACCCATTACCAACTGTGTGCCTAATCCTTATTCCCTGAGTGTGCCGCCAGCCATTAGCAGACATTTCCTTTTACGTTTCCATTTATCAAAAGTAGAAGCATCTTATTCGAAATGCAAAGAAATAATGATGCTGCAAAACGGGGTAGATCTGGATATTTCTATCGAGTACCGTAGATTGTGACACCATATCCTGTCCATATTTTAATCGATCACTTCAAAGCATTCATGAAGACAATTCTGAAACAATGTAGATCTTTAACCGCATTTTAAAATTACATTGTACAGTGTGATTTTAATTAAAGGCTAGTTAAAAATGGTCACCATACGTCTTTTCGCAGCCCCATTTCCCTGTCACAGTAGCCTGAGGAAATACAATTGAAGTTGTCAATTTGTAATATCAGTGTTCCCGTTCTTCCCTGCTCAAATACTAGTTGGAAAGGTGCTTCACCTTGGGAAAAAATGGGTGTATGAACAGTCAACAGATGTGGCAAAGAGCACAGTACATTAATGGTAAACACACCTCTACCCACATTGAAGTATGGACCAATCCAAACAGATGGCACTCAGAGCGCAAACAATACTGTACTTGATTTAGGTATAATCGAGAGGAATTAAAAGATAATTGCTAGGCTTAAAATGGCCCTGGGTTTACTCATGAATAGACACAAGTAGTCACTTTTTTGTTCGTTTGTACAAACTAATGCAAGATGGTAAACGAAATGGTTATTTTTGGAGGGGATGCCATGCACAAATGTCAACGGCTGCATATCAATAGGAACAAACGTAGGCGTCGGAAAACGTGGTTAATGAAAGACAAAGAACAAAAGGCCATATAGCGTGTACCTATTGTATAAACGTAAAGTAAAAAGAATCCGCAATTTTCGATTTTTTACCACAATTTGGTTCACAATCGACTCAACTTGAGAGCCTAAGTGGTTGTTTGCTTACCCAATTGTCAATCCACAAAATTGGGCAAGGGTATTAAACAAGAAGCTGTTTGAAAATCTACTGACATAATTACTTTGCCTATTTCCATTGGCTGATATTCTGAGATTTTAACCTCAATTGGCATGTTTTGGAGCGTAAGTCAGCGTTAGTTATCATTTTTCATTCTTAGTTAGTTAGTTATCATTTTTCATTCTTAGAAAACATATGGATATAAAGTGGAGAGCCATCTAAAGTCGCAAAAGATAAGATTTGCCGAAACGCAACGTCTGAACAGGTAATGCTACGCGGCAACTGTGATTAATACAGTAAGGGCAAATCAATACACGTATCTATCAATTAAGGTCTACTTATATATAGTTGAAGAACGGCACTTCGCGTCTGCTAGCTACTATAAAGAAAGTTGGCGCTTAGACTTAAGATAAAGAATTTATCGACACTGATTGATCCTGGGTGTCGCATTAAAATCACAACTGAGAGGTGTTGCTTACACTTCGTCCCTATTCGAACGTTGATTAAGTGCAAGGGAATATTTACGTGAAATATTGTCCAATCTACATTAGTAAGTTACAGAGAACATTGTTATAACCCATCTTTTATCCATACAATAATACGGTGGCGTTCTTTCAGATAAATTCCAAAGCCTGAAATGTCCCACAAATAAAAACGAAGAAGCTAAATTCTTACACTGATAGCTCTGACGTGTGTTGGACAAAAACAGGTACATCTCCCAATTGCAGGGTCTCACTACACTTTCAAGTAAGCTTCAAAAGTGCAACAACCGCCCTGTTTTGAAAGGGTCCACTCGTGCTAAAAGTGCGCTTCGATATATATCCTCACGGAAGGCGCAACACTCGTTCCTGCGCGAGTGATCAATTCTGCGTGAACAAAATCACTCAAGCGTACCATACAATTTCCCTGGAGAGTACAAGGGAAGCCACGTTTCCCTTATAAAGCCAGGAATTAGACTTCCTTGCCTGTTTTGGCAGCGGGAAATCTCAACTAATCACAGCAGCATTTCAAAAGACTTATTTTCAGGTAGGCTTTGCTTGATTCTTAATATTTTCTTGCCGATCTTTAAAGTCTCTTTAGCCTCCGTTCGAGCGGGTGATGCGGTCACTTTCCTGGACACGGTACGCATCCCAATCAACACACACACCTCCGGTTGGGTGTATTTTCATAAGAACTTGCGTTTTAAGTTTCTTTTGCTTAAGATCCTCAGTAACTGGAAATATAAACATTCCCGTGACTAAACATTGATGGCGATAAGCGCTTTTGGACACCGTAGGCTTATGGTTTTATTAAAATATAACAGAAGCTTTTCAGCATCTGTTCGATATCAGCTTCGCAAACTACGGGTACATACGCAAATGCCAAATGAGCTAGTGTCTTCTGGAAATCCTCTTAGAAGTGTGAAAACATTTGTCAGACTCCTACAAAGAATGATTGGCAGGTTTTCACACTGCGACTCTAGGATTTGACGAGGAGTAAGAAGATCCACAGGATGGTTAAAATCATATGAACTTTATACCCTTTGACCTTTTTTGTTCCGAGCAAAACATTAGTTCTTGGATTCATAGTATGTTGCCCTTGGTGTTAAACCAAAATCATCTTCTTTCACTTCATCTTCAAATATGCAATACTTCGAAAAAATGTGGTAAATTCTGCACTAATAAAGCGACACAAACATTAATTCTACTAGACAGCAGCGTAGGTAGCTACTGGATATAATGATTTATTTAGGAATTAATATCACGTGCTGTCGTAATCACGTTAAAATAAAGTAGCTTACGGTTGAAAATTAATGTAGGGTCACTCTTTCAGCAAAAGTCCTCATTTTGCATCTCTACATCTAAAGCCTAAATGCACAGCTGTTTTCTGCCTGGCTGCGGCTGCCTGTTGCAGAGGTAAAGAAACGAGAAAGACGTAACTTGAAAAGAAACCCCAGTATTTTGAAGTGATAGATGAATCTGAAGCTTCGTTTTATAATAAAAAAAAACGAGGCACATGTATTTGCTTTCAGCATTTTCCCAAGCTTGATACCGGGAAGTAAAATGATCCCGACGAATTCACTCCGCACGTTCCTTCTATTGAAGAACACCAAATGACAGCGTCTTAATGACGTCCTTGAATTATCTCATTTCTCTTTCTTAGGTGTTATAACGATGTATGAGGCAATTATCTACGTGTTTAAGTGTCGGTTTTTCGAATTGACTTTCACTCAAGCGTACAATCCAGACAGAGAAATAGAGTAATTTAAACAAATGCGAGCTAGACGTATATAAGACGAAGGCATCTGAAGTCTTTTGATATAAAAATGGAACCTTCGTGGATGTATTGCCCGACGCGTTGTTTGTATCATGAGCAGGATTTTATTAATTCAGATGGTTGGTTGTTATAATGAGAGAAAGGGCATTCTGTCTGTAGCCGTTAAACCTCTATTGCTGTTATTGTCCCCAAAACAGATATATAAATTAATTCCAAATTTAATCACAACATATCAGTTTTTGAATGAAGTAACAGAGTACAAGTTACAAAGTTAAAACTTAAAATCACTATTGTCTTTGTTACGGAGTTTCTCCTAACAGATGCTGTTACTATAGTGGTAAATACATCACCACTAACATGTGATACTGTTCCAATCATTATTTGGGATACTCGATGTGTATCCAGGCTTTTTATGACAAAATTATACTTTGGCACCCCCGAGTGACCTTTTACTACATATCCGGTCATCAAAGTCCGAATTCGCCAAGATGTTGACATTTCCATGTGTCATGTGACCTGTCAATTAAAAAAAATAGCAGGTGATGGTGTAAACCCTTCGAAGGTTTAAGAGTTTGTATAGCTTTAGTTCGTGCCGGTGATTTGAATTTCTTAAAGTGGGCACTTGGAAGAAGCTTCAAACCTTGAATTGTTTTTCAAGTTGGAGTAATCAATTCCAAATTGCACTTGATTCTGTTTCATTTTACAGACAATGTAAAAGTTTAAGCTATTTTGATCTGCATATGCCATTTCTAATCACTGGAAAAGCCCCTATATTAGGAAAAAAAATTAAAAACCACCTTCATCGAGACGAGGGGCTTCAAATTTGAATCATTTTGCAAGTTGAATGTTGGAGCGATCAGTTTTTAAACTTTTGAAACGGCCCTTGTCTTTTTATATTGCTTACAGATGAAGAATTTATCAAGACACCTTTTGATTTCGACCCTTTTTCACTCTGGAGATTGCAGAGACAACGGTTGACGAGAAGCAAGCAGCTGCAAAACTGATGATAATTCTCGCCGAGAGATTTGCGTTTCCCCCGAACTAAAATGGTAAAGATAGCTCTTATGTTCAAAATATAACAAGTCCAAGTTTGCGGAAAAGAAACTGTGCTCAAGTTGTTGTTCAGTTAAAAGGCGAGTCGAAGAATTGCAATGTCCTCAAAAATGAAGCGAGATTAAATACTCTTGCAAGGTTAAGATTTCCAATCTGATTTACTTCAGTCAGCAGTCGCCAAAGAGACAACTTTGAAACGAACTGAACATCAAATATTGCATCAAAATGTTTGTAATGCTTCCAAGCCGATGCCAAACAAGATAAACAATGTTACATAATAAGCAGTCCAAATCAAAATTCTGTAATATTTGGAAAGATAAACTCTTGTTATGTTTACTGAGAAACGATTAGAATTAAATAAAAATGTAAACTTGCAAAACCTGGAAGGAAATATTTTCATCTGCGATTCACACGATGTTGGACTATGAAGAGTTTTTGGTTTTCGATAAAATTGAAGATTATCTTTGTAGAAGAAATGGCCCGTTCTTGGGAACTATAACTTTGTCAATACAATACAATTTTGTCTTACAATAATGCCTCTCCTGAATAAAAAATGTTGTCGGCTCTCCTGTAACTCGTACAAAAGAAAATGAACCAGCACCGCCAAAGATACAACATGAATCGCAGAGTTCACCACCCTTTCTTTTTAAAGCCATGCTCAAAGAGGTTTGGACTTGTCTCAAACGAAACGATCAAGAAACTCTTCTATAAAAAACACAGGATAAACAAATGTGTCACCGTGATAAGCGTGCCGCAAATGCAGCCGTAAATGAAATACTTATAATTTTCTATTATGATGGACTGTCTGACTTCTTGTACGTTAGTGGAAAAGTTATGTTGATTGTTTGTATTGTAGCTTGGGTATTATTTACAATACATATTAATGTTTAACATCACTTTGTCGTTGGTAACTACTTTAATAATTTTTCTCCGTGACTTTTCGCCACGACATGGCAAGCGCAGTAAATGTTCCAAAAGTTGTATCATCCGACAAATTTGAAGCCTGTCCTTGAAGTCCATTGCGATGGTATCATATTAACAACATTAGTTTGAAAAAACTGCGTCTTTAATAAACACCTTGATCTCTTACGGATTGTCCCCAGAGTGTCTAAAATGTATCACAAGTGAATATCAAGATCGCCCGGGGGCCCTGTCATATGCCTGACTTTCAGTGTCATTTAAAGCTTTCACAATGCTCACTCCCTGGCTAGTGTGGAGAGCCTACAGAGTGAGGATTCTTCCTTCACATTGTCCTTTTATAAGGAACCAACTGGCACCATATCAAGCTAAGATTAGATTTCTATGTAACGTTAACTCTCTGCCCATAAAGGAGCCTTTTGTGTGCCTAGTTTTTTGGGGTGATTTTTGTCCAAGATACAAGGAATTAATTCTTCACTGTGGCTTAAAAACCTCCAATTCCCGTCTTAGGTCATGCTAAAAATTACAAACCTCGCCCAAGCCCCCCCCCAAAAAATAACAAATGCCAAAGCGAAAACAAACACAACAAACGTTTTTGGAAATGGTTTTCTTGATTCTTTATGAAAGCTGAGTTTTTTGTCTTCAATTAATTAAACGTTAAACAAAACAACTGCACCCACACACACGTACCCATTCACACAAAATTTTAACCACCAACGTAAAATAACCACATGTACTCATACTGAAAAAAAAGACTGCACCAGAAAGGCCGATGGTCGGCGCAGTTTTAGCGGAATAAATTACTTTTATGCTGCCACAGCTTAGGTAACCTTGTTAGTCTCACGGGCGAGCAAACCTTTAAACGTGTAGATGTACACTCTTTGCTCATTGCTCACAGTCTTGGGCACCGAAACCCGTCTATGCTATCACCTGCGGGTGTACCGGTGAAGATGCTATTGCCTTGGTGTGCAGATGGATCGTATAATATCGAACAGGCATCCGGCGTCCAACTCAAAATCGAAAGATGCGTGTATAACTCAAGAGCGCTTGGGAAAAGTGGGCTTGGGTGCAAATTTGTAAGAGGTGGGTGAGTTTGCACCCAGCTAGGTCAATACAGTAAAACGTTTGGAGACTTTACTGCATAAGGTTTGTTTGGTAACAAAATCAACAATTCGTCTCCCAAAATAAGATGTCGATAATGCAAAATGGGAAGGAAAATATTTATCACTATTATTTGATACCAATTAAGAACCTTAGTGATTGCACCAAGAATACTCAAGACATTGACAAAGCAAGATGACCCATTACAATTAAGTGGAAGTCATGGTCTTTTATTATTGACTGGTCACACTGATAAATTACCCTGGAATCCTCCCGAAACCTACAAGACTGTCATCCATGATATAAAGCGTGCATTTATTGCAAGCATGAAACATTTTGTTTTATTAAGTCATGTGGTAGCCGCGTCACGAGAACTTCCTAAGGAAAAAAGAGTGATTCAAGATGTACATGTTTGTCAATTGAAATATCTCACGCAAACTCTGAAAGTTGAGTGAACCTTATACTGTCTACAAAATGCTGCAGTCATATCAATTAAAAGTCACCTATATGAGGCTCACTTTGAGACCTCAGTTTCTACAGAGCAAGGTTGTCAAATGAAGACGCTCCATGTGACGTGACGTCATGTACTATAAATATCTTCCCAGAGAAGATGTCACATTTAATTTAATTCATTATCAAAGCAGTTCTTTGGCATTGTCACAATGATGATGATACGGATCTCCATACCATAAGCATCCCGCGCAGAGCCCATCCAAAAACTCCGAAATTAGCTGGCCATTCAAGTCATGCTTGGCAAACGCGGCAGCGGCATTTAATCTGGAAGCTTTGCTTGTGTGAGATGACAAAAGGCACTTGACGATGTAGCGCTTATACAATACCATTCAGCGCAAGCGCATTTCTAGCCACGGTCTTTGGGGCGAACCTCCTGCTGAACAGTGAACTTCTTGACGGCAGTGAATTACGACTGTGACAAATCCATGAGAAAAACTACAAGAGAGCACTATGTACAAAATAATTTGTTGCTATGATCCACTGCTCCAATCCACGTACATTTTGACTGTATCAAGGATTACAGGGTTTTTAAAAGGTACACTTGCATTATTAGTTTAATGTAAGTAAATTCATGGCAAATGGTAGTGCTAAGAAAACAGGTAGACGAAATAGTGTGGATTAGCTGTAAAGACTTGGTTTACTTCTAGATTAAAATTTCTCATAAGCTTAATTCATATTGTTATGAGTTATAACATGTTAATGATTGTTAAGTAGCAACAACCATGACTTGAACCTAATGTTATTTAAAAGAAAAATCCTTATACGTCCTTACTTCTTTTCTGTGCTAACAAATGTTCCATTGCAAATCCCCCGATGTTTTAGCGTGAAAAAATAAATCTTTTTTGTTTCAACTAATATAAATCTTCACCTAAGACAGTGTCATTATTTTTTGGTGGGTATTGCCATTTGAGAAAAAAATGCCAGCTTTTCTAAATTTATCGTACATTCCGATAACTTTCATAGCGACTATAAATCTCAGACAGCATTGACAAGGTACTATTTTTACACCTTCTACTGTGGAAGGAAAAACATGGGACTCGGGTGATATATATCCCACCGACAGGACTTGCTGAAAGTCATACCGCCCCAGTGAGTCGTAACACAATCTCTCCCCGAACCGTCACTACGCATCTTCCATTTGACAAGATGCAAGGGACGATCACAATCAATCGCTGCATGGAGTGCGCTAGTCTCATCGACCAGCCCTCGAGAGATTCCTCGCCAACATTGGTCTCGATGGTGACCTTCAATTTATGCTGTTCCCGCTGCGGAAACGGCTGACGTTGCGTCCAGTCCCCATACAGACTTGATAGGGTCGGCAAATAATGGCAGCCAACACAGGCGGTATATGGATGCATGACAGGTATATGCGGTATAGATATGTCTTGAAATCCGCAATCAGCTTTCTTGTCTAGAATTACTCTCTTCTGGGTTTGTCTTCAGTCATTTCTTACATCCGGTCTGTCTATCAGCATTATTGGCACAGACCGTCATTTTGGACATTTTGTCAACAAATGTTTTCGGGTCGATAATATTATTATTTAACCTCGCTGTGTTCAGACAGCACAACCAGTTGTGAAGGTTGTTGCTACCGTTTAGGTCATAGCTTAACAACAAAAACTCACAAGTAATCAAACAGATAATCTCGAATTGTTGACAATCGGTCGCAGACAACATTACAAACAATGGACTTTACGGGTGGGCCATATTAAATTTAAAGCAAGGTAAACTATTGACTTTGCGAACTTGAAAGTAGTGGCGTATCCAGGTCTTGTGTGGGGGGGGGCAAATGAAAAAGTTTCTCAAATGACTCTCCAAATTTCTTCCTCTTAAAACTCTCATTACCCACCTCCCAGAAAGGTAGTAGTACTATTCCTAAAATGCAAGCGCTTAACATTCCAATAAAACATGTTTCCAGGGTGGCAACTTGTCTCCACCCTACCCCACCCCACCCCCATCACCCCCGTTGATATACCATTGCCAAAAAGCAAAAATAGAGCCAGTCGACCACTCTTATTTTGCCTACAACTTATATGGCCGGTCAAAATTTGCAGAAATATTATCTTTTGGTTGGTTTTCGATGTTACCTCAAATTCGTTCAAAATGGAAATGTGTCCCATTAATTTTTAAAAGGGTTATATTTCATTTAGTATGGAGTAGGACGTGTTTTATTATCTGGTGTTCTGATAGCTGCAAGGGAGTTTTTTTTACACTTAGTTTATTATTCTTTTTATTTTGCACCAAAAGCCAACCATAGTTTAAGCAGCCACTTGCAGGGAAACACAACTGTGACGTCAAAAGAACAGACCCTATATAACATAAGATTCTTACAACATCTGTCAATATTTCAAAAGAATGATTTTAAAGTGATGAATAAATCTAAAAAGGTTAATGAACGCACTCCAGTAGACCCAGCGAGAAATGAGACCGAGGGGTCACCCCCCACCATGTCCAATACCTATACACATTCCAGACTATTGTTACTTAACACATCCCCCCCCAAGATGTCTGAAAGGAATTCCCCATATTCCTGCGAGACAATGACCAACACAAAGCAGGGGGGTTCTCTCCGTCTCATACCTTGCTGCATATGTATACGCTCCAGCCACGAAATAGTCTGGCACTATTTCATCATGGTGTTACAGATTTTCCAATGGATTTAGAGAATACTGTCAAAATTTCTTCTTCGTGAAAAAGGTCTGTTGACAAGGTCTATCCTTGGTTAACTTTATCAATCAAGTGCAAAGCTGTTTGCCGGACGAGACATATTTTGATATTTAGATAACGGTATTTTTTTCCAGGCCTGAAGTCTGCCTTCTGAGATAATATATCACTTGTAGGAGATACATGTGTTTTAGGATGCTGTCTGACAAAGACGTTTTCCTTTCCCTATGGCTTCACCACCTGATATATTATTTCAGAACGTCGACAATGAGTCAAAGACATCTCCATCTTGAAATATATCAGGGTTTCAACAGGTCAGATGGCATTTCCAGAGCTCTGTAGAAGTTCTCAAACGGTTGATTATTTTAACCACTATACAGCTTGAGTCTTTCAAGATCTGTTAATAGTTTGCATGAAGAAAAATCCACACTGATAGTTCCCGCTGATGACTAATGATTACCATCAAGTCCTACCATATTTGTTCTACTAATCCAACAACCACGTATAACTTTCTGTGTAATTTATGTTTTCAAATATCATTTTGCCCAGCCATGTCGTCGATAGTGCAAAGAAAATTCTATTCCTATCCCCATGCCCGTGGAACATACGGTAAATTTCAGCGCACATGCTGCACGACGAATGAGATTGTGAGCGGGAAAATCCCAATGATTACCTACAAAATTGGATTGGATGAGGAAGACATCAAATTTCTTTCTCCTCTACGAAATATTGTGTCAACAGTTTGTCTATAGCTCTGGACTGGCACTTATGCCACGCAAGAGACACGGAGCAAAGACTGAAAGGGGAAGACGAGTCGTGTTACACGTCGCCTAGTGGGATTATGAGCAATCAATGCCCAGATTATGTGGAGTTGGGTGGTGAGAAAACTGGCTGCTTTCCTCTCTGGTTGTCAAACCAATAACACCATATACTGGGACGTCATCACTTCGGTATCGTAGTCAAGGCTGTGGAAACTGTTTTTCTCGGACGAGGTGGAAACATCAAAACATCAGCGACAGCACGTCTGGAAGGCTTGGTTACAACGTGGCGGGAAACTCGCTGATTGGAATGTAGAAAGTCAATACTTTACAACAATCAATCAAGGGCGCTGTAAAGGAATAAGTGGAAGACGAACAGTGAGTTTGGAGCTGTGGGTTCTGCTCAAAAATTTTCAGGACCACTGTAAAATGTTCCAATGTTTTGCGCTACCGTAAAAAATCCACATCAAGGCTAAGTTGAAGGGGTGGTTATATTTTAAAACAACTGCAAACAACGACAACGATATTGATGTTTACAGCGGACGTTTAATCCAATTTATTCAACCTAGTCATGATTCATTGCTCTACTGTCCTTGTTGGCGGGAAAAAAAATCGACGTATTTAAATGTATCAGAGCACAATGCAATCCTGTATACAAAAAGCGGTAAAACAAAGAGTTGCGATATGAAAATGGGCATTATCATGCTCAGGTATCATGAACAGGAACATGAAATGACCGAAGTGAATTACCTGTGAGACAGGCTTTGGCTTAGAGCGCCAAAGGCGTCGTTGAACGAGCCACGAAGAGCAGACTTCATCTGACCAGATCTCAAGATCTTTGGAAATCCTGGCTAAACCAGCAAGGTAAGCTGATTCAACCGGTGCCTGCGCTTGGGGCCCAAGAGGTACAGTTTTGTTTTTTTTGTCAACAACTGCACCATGAGCCTTGGGGGGATTCTGGGTGCTTAGGAATGCCTTCCAGCGACCATGTCTCGAATTAGGAATGCCAGAACTTCTTGCTTACAATGTTGGTTACTGTTTCCGAATGACGTCATGGCGAAGTCACCAGTTATCCCTAGTAAATCTTGATATCTCCCTCTCTAATTTTAGACTGCATTCTGGCTTCGATTTCTGTGAGGGATTTTGCCTGCATTGACATCTCGTGGCTTTTACCTTCTTGGTTTTTAGGAGTCTTGGGGCAAAGAATCATGCCACTTTTTTGGAGGGGGAGTTTGTCTCAAAATGAGATTGACTTGTTCACGATTTGGTATGTCTCTAATCGTTGTATCCTTAAGGCTATGGCAGGGTCTTCATTGGCTTATTCATGTCTTTTATAGTGAATATCAGGACACAAATATCGTCATTTGTGTCTTTTATCAATGTCATGCTTTCAAAGGGAAAGTGTGTGGTCAATAGGTCAGAAAACGATCGAAATAAAATGATTGGGCGTTGCTATCCGAGTTGACCACGTCTCTTTTTTAATCTCAGGATATCGATCTAATATGGGCCTTACCAACAGAGATATACCGAAGACGTCGGTCATACCGGATATAGTATGCAAATTTCAACATTTTCAACCTGATAACAGACCAAAACAGGTCAGGCTCACACGAACTTGGATGACACCACAGAGCACTGTATCGAAGGATTGCAGCTTTACCGCCATTGCTGTAGCTTAAATGCGACGAACATAATTACTCAATAAAAGCGTGCCATTCCATTCCACTGGTTTTGTATTATTCATAACAATTTCCTGTAAAATCCAGACTACTTTTAAAAGTTGAACTCTCACTTAATCTATACAGGTGGCTTACCAGCCGATTATCTCTAGGAACCTATGCCTGAGGATTTTGCATCAAGGAATGGTCCTAGGCGTAATTGTCGCTGCGTTTTAGTCTTTCGAAGTCTTTCAATACCAAAATTAACCCTTGAGGGAGTAAAATTTGGACCAATTTTACAGATTTTATTTTCAAGTTAAATGTTTGGCAATCCCTGTTAACTTCCACGCGAGACCGGCTTCAGCTTAAAATATCTGCGAATATAAATTGTGTTCAAGTAAATCCTAGTAGCCAATCAGGATTCCAATGCTTAGCCTAAAATGAGTGGTCATGACAAACCATCCGAGGACTTCACTTCACAACTTCATCTTTCTGCCAAAGGGCCACAGGGATGTCTGTGTCTGTTAGCTAAACACGTCGATCAGTTTCCACGAACGTACCGGTACCACACTCATAAAAGCGGCTTTCCATATGTGCGCTTTTGCGGTGCAGTGCGTTGCGTACACGATACGTTCATGCGTTTCACTCTCACGGACTCAAAACTCGACTCCATCAACGTAACAGCCATGTGCGTTGCGTTCGGCCGCGGTCAAAATCGTCCTGGGAGTGATTTTGACAGATACACAACGCTTGGCGCAAGTGCTGACGCGCCGTGGAGCCT